CTCTCCCCACTATGAGTTCTCATGTGTGAAGTTAGGTATGAGGAACACTTAAAGGTTTTCCTACATACCTTACATTTATAAGGCTTCTCTCTCCACTGTGAATTCTTGTATGTTGAATGAGAAATGAGGTCTGAATAAAGGCTTTCCCACATTCCTTACATTGGTAAGGTCTCTCTTCACTGTGAGATCTTATATGTATGTTGAAGGCAGAGACCCGACTAAAGGCTTTCCCACACTCCTTACATTCCTAAGGCCTCTCTCTACTGTGAGTTCTTTTATGTACAGTAAGGTTTGAGGAATTGTAAAGGCCTTTCCACATTCCTTGCATTCCTAAGGCCTAAATCCACTGTGAGTTCTTATGTGTACAGTGAGATGTGATGACCGACTAAAGGCTTTCCCACATTCCTTGCATTCATAGGGCCTCTCTCCACTGTGAGTTCTAACATGTGCAGTGAGGGATGAGGCCCAACTAAAGGCTTTTCCACATTCCTTGCATTCATAGGGCCTCTCTCCACTGTGAGTTCTTACATGTGTATTGAGAGATGAGGCCTGAGTAAAGGCTTTCCCACATTCCTTACATTCATAAGGCTTTTCTCCCCTGTGAGTTTTTGTATGTGAAGTGAGGTGTGAGGAACTCTTAAAGCCTTTTCCACATTCTTTACATTCATAAGGCTTCTCTCCACGGTGAGATCTTATATGTTTAATGAGGTCTGAGTAATAACTAAAGGCTTTCCCACATTCCTTACACTCATAAGTCCTCTCTCCACTGTGAGTTTTTACATGTTTATTGAGTGATGAGGCCTGAGTAAAGGCTTTCCCACATTCCTTACACTCATAAGGCTTCTCTCCACTGTGAGTTCTTATATGTTTTGTGAGTGATGAGGCATCACTAAATGCTTTCCCACATTCCTTACACTCATAAGGCCTCTCTCCACTGTGAGTTCTTACATGTTTTTTGAGGGATGAGGCCCGAATAAAGGCTTTCCCACATTCCTTACACTCATAAGGCCTCTCTCCACTGTGAGTTCTTATATGTTTTCTGAGTGATGAAGCGTCACTAAATGCTTTCCCACATTCCTTACATTCATAAGGTCTCTCTCCACTGTGACTTCTTGTATGTGTATTGAGGGATGAGGCCTGAGCAAACGCTTTCCCACATTCCTTACATTCATAAGGCTTCTCTCCACTGTGAGTTCTTATATGTTTTGTGAGTGATGACTCTACACTAAATGCTTTCCCACATTCCTTACATTCATAAGGTCTCTCTCCGCTGTGAACTCTCATATGTACCATGAGGTGTGCGGTCTGACGAAAGGCTTTCCCACATTCTTTACATTCATAAGGCCTCTCTCCACTGTGAGATCTTATATGTTTAGTGACTTGTGAGGGATAGCTAAATGCTTTCCCACATTCCTTACATTCGTAAGGCTTCTTTCTACTGTGAGTTCTTGTATGTTTTGTGAGTGATGAGGCCTCACTAAATGCTTTCCCACATTCCTTACATTCATAAACTCTCTCTCCACTATGAATTCTTATATGTGTCGTGAGGTGTAAGATCTGACTAAAGGCTTTCCCACATTCCTTACATCCATAAGGCATAGCTCTCTTAGGAAAGTTTTTATCCAAAATGTGGGATGAAGTATAACTACAGGTTTCACAACACTCTTTATCTTTATGCTTATAACTTCTAACATGTTTCCAAAAGGATGAGAAATTATAGAAATCTTTACCACATTCATCACATTCATAGTGTTTCTCACCAGTGAGTGTTGTAACAGACTTCTTCAGCATTGAAATACAAATGAAGTCCTTCCCACAGACCTTACATTTATGGGGTTTTTTTCCAGTAAGAGTTCTCAGAGGAGTGGTTAGGTGAGCAAGACAGCTCCAGGAACCTCCATATTCCTTACTCTGACAGGTACTGCATCCAGTGTGAGATCCGCTATGATGCTTATGTGCTGAGTGATGCATTAAGCCTTCTCCACACTCACACCATTCAAAAGAATTTACTGCTGGAGGATTTCTCTTTAGCACAGTAAGATTTGGAATCTTGATTAAAGTTTCCCCACGAGGAATGCTTTCATTACTTTCACAGAGGTCCGCTGTGTTACTTCTGTCAAAAACAGGCAACACACTGTCAGAAATAAATTTGTTCCCATTTCACCATTACCAAACACAGTGACTATGCTTGGTTTTTGCCCTGATTTGTCTCATGGTTTGTAGGTTAAATCATATACCAGAAATACTACCATTACTGGTACTATTTTTCTAAAATAGGTGGCTTTCTGATAATTGTGCTGAAAGTAAATCTGTTCCCAAGTTAATACCTGACTCAGGTGTAAAAAAAATGCTGTATTGTGAAAATTGTCTGATCATTTAATATTACAGCTAGCTTTACATATATTGTTCTTGTCAGGTGGCGCTGAGTCAGTTCTGACTCATGGTGACCTGTGTATAACAGAATGAAACACTGTCTGGTCCTAGGTCATCCTCACAATTGTTACTACATTTGAAACCACTGTTGCACCCACTGTGTGACTATCTTGTTGATGGTCTTCCTTTTCCTTACTGACCCTCTAACTTTACCAAACATGCATATACATACACACTCATATAAGTATATAATGTTATGACACCTTAAGGACTTTCTCCTAAGGCATTGTTTTTTCTTGCATGAATAACACTCACTTCAAATGTCTCCTCTGTTTTTCATGCTTATCTTTATCACCAGGCAATTTGGAGATTTCTTCTAAGATGGAAGACCAGGTGTTATTCTTCATGAACTGCACCATTATATATTCACTGGATAACCTTTCTCCATGATTAAGTTTTTGACACACTGACCCAATAATGCAAGTTGAAGTTCATAATAATATGACAGGAAAAAGAAAGCAGTTATTAGGGAAAAATAAGGTGCTGTGAATAAACAGACACTGGCCACATTTCGCTGTTCCAGTATTTTGACAGTGGTTAAAAAGCAATTTACTAGAAAATACGTCCATGAGTTCTGACAATGCCAAGGACATAAACAGATGTAATCAGGAGAGCAAAATGAGAAGATAATGGACACAATACACTTGTAACTCTAAAAGAAGAAAAGTTTCTCCATGACCAACAATGTGATGGGATTGCTGAAGTCAGAAAAGTAAGCTCAGGTACCTGTAATTGTGTCTTCAACCCAAAGAGACTCTTTCTACCTGAAGGACTCAAATGTGATTCCCTATCTCCCCTGTACCAGCTCCTCTTGGAAAACAAATGGGGAGAGCTGACATGGTGCTCATGGAGAAATGCACATTATGAAGGGACACAATGCATAGCAACGAACATTTCCCTGACATTGAGCCAATACTGTGCTCCTCAGGGACTCTGAAGATGTACTGCT